TTATAACCACGTCCATTATTTAGGTTTGAATATGTAAATAAATAACAAATATGATACAAGTAATAGAGTTTTGCTACTCTTACAGGCCTACTGCACAGTCCCCTTTACAGCTTTTCAAAAATTCATACGTGGAACTGCACAGTAAAAAGATCCGGCCCAAAAAAAAAAAAAAGTTCTTGACCCGGCCCAGAATTGTTGGTTCCCCAGATCTCGCTCTCACTCTCTAATCTTACCAGAATCTCCATCTCACTCTCTACCCTAATCCCCAAATCGGTCTCCCTCGAAATCTCAACATTTCTTGCCCACTCTACCTTTTCGTTGATTCCGTCCACCGGTGTATTCTCCGTCATCCCGCCGAGAAGAGGCAAAACGACGTTCCACATTGCGCTTATTTTCCACGAGTTTTCACGCTAGTAAGTTTCTCTTCTTTTTTGTTCTTCATTTTGGACTTTTTTCATCCCTCGAACCATGCTTGGGGCAGTTGAAGGTACGGGAAAAAAAATGTCTCGACTGCATTTTGAAATTTTGGTATAAGAATAATTTTTTGAATAATGTTCACTGGATTATATGAGTCCTTTAATCGTTTTTCATATTGAATTATTATGTCTCAGTTCACACATGTTTAATCCAACCCTATAATAATGATTTGGAATCTATTATGTATTATGAGGTTTTAAATTGATTGAACTATTCTTCCTCGAGCAGATTGAATTATTATTATAGGGTTGGATTAAACCACTCTCTACTGACTGGCTTTCTCTGTTGTTATGCTGAAGAAGTAAAAAGATAATTGTACTGGCTTTCTCAATTGCTTTATATTTTTCAAATTGTCTTACCTTGATGTAGGAAAAGAAACAATGAAAGAATTGGATGATGAAGTATGTGTAGAATCCAACAATGCGAAGGGGGTGGATAATGTAGTGAACTTGGAAGACGATCACGATAATTTGGCAAGAGATGTTACGGTAGTGCCTGAGGTGGGTATGCAGTTCAACAATGAAACAGAGTTGTTCGAATTTTATAAAAGATATGCCTACGAAATTGGTTTTCCGGTTAGGAAAAGGAATTCCAAAAAAGGTGAGGATGGATTAGTGAGATATATTACATTGACATGTAGTTGTGAGGGAAGATCACGAAGTAATAGCAGCGCTTCTTTGAAGCCGTAGCCAACAGTTCAGATAGGTTGCAGAGCTAGGCTAACTGCTTCCTCAGATATTCATGGACTATGGAAAATTTGTACGGTTGATCTTGAACATAATCATAAACCAAGCCCGTAGAAGTCCAGGTTGTATAGATGCAATCGAGAATTGAGTACACATGAGAAACGAAAGTTA